ATATTTATTTTCTTTTCTCTTTATTAAATTCTAAGAAAAGATTATAAAAAATAAGTAACAGCTAACTCCTATCCCCAGGAACACGTCCTACTGATGAACCTTACAAAACTAGCCCATTCTCTAAGCCAGTTCTGTATGGCAGAACTTTACACACTAATGGAAATATGAGCCATTTCATATAGGGTCCATGAGCACCTGAAATGTGGCTTGTGCACCTAAGAAAATGAATTTTTTATTTTATTTAATCTGAGTTAATTTCAATTTAAATGGCCACACTAGTGTCTGCAATACTGGGCAGCACGACTTTGCTGTCCTCATTTCTCTGAGGCAGCCACCATCACTCAGAAGTTCATGTTGCAGCCTATTAACACTGTTTTGATCTGGCAAAGCAAGAACATCCACTGGTTCCAGAAAGAAAAGTACCTTTTAGAATAACAATCAAAGAAAACACAGAGAATGGGCTTGATGTACCTTCACTGCCTAGTTCCAAGAAAACAGTCTTTGCTACAGGGCAGGGCAGGGCCAGGCTGGGCCTACTGGGCCTATGTAACAAAGCAGGTGGGGAACTGGGACCCTAAGGACATTCACTTGTATCCTAAAAACAGGAGAGGTGGGCAGTAGGATCCACAGATACTACACATAATGTATTACAATTACCATATGGAACAATTATTAAATTTAAAAGACATTCTAGAGCAGTGGTTCTCAATCTGCAGATCCTGACCCCTTTGGGGGTCTCCTGAATATCAGATATTTACATTACAACTTATAACAGTAGCAAAATTATAGTTATGAAGTAGAAACGAAAACATGGATGGGGGTCACTACAACATGAATTTGTATTAAAGGGTCGAGGCATTAGGAAGGTTGAGAACCACTGTTCTAGAGCGAACCACTCCCCTTCCCTGGTTTTCCTTCTTCACTATGTTAAATACTGAAATAATTCCATAGAAAACATCCTCATGGTCATTTTATTATAACTTTCTGAAAATTAATCACAGGAATTAGGTGCTGCCAGCTTTCCCAAGAAATCTTTGCAGAAACAGTCCCTTTCAGAGTCTTCAGCAGCCTAAACCTCACACCCACTGGAGCTTGGAGTGAGGAGAACATGGTGGCTGGGCAGTAGCAAGCTTCACCTAATCTTATCTGTGACACAGATAGAAGGAGGACAAGGCAGACACAGCTGTCCAGCATGAGGGGCAAAAGCTTGCTATGTGCCTCTAACAAACAAGAGTTTGTTTCAAGCCACCATCTTTACAGGACAAGACAACCATAGCCTCTACATCAACAAGATCATCCCCTGGGATGTCCAACAACCTCCTGTCCCCTGCTACCCCCACCTGCTGATACCTTTTCTAAAGCTCACTCCCCTCAGAGGCAGTCACCAGTCATGCCAAAGGCCCTGACATGCTTACAAGAGAGTATAAACATTACACTCAGAGAACTGCAAATTGTCATGGAGGTGTGGTGCCCTATCAGAGAATGGACAGAAAGGACACTAACTCACTGTGTGACAAAGGTTTGGCAAGGGCATCTCAACCACCTTCTTCTGGGAAGCAGAAGCCACAGCCCTTACCCTACACAGGCCCCAAATCTGTCTTCAGGAGAATCCCCAGGGCAAGTAACTTACAATCTTGCCTCCTTTACTCAGGCCTATGTCACCATTTGCTAAGCTTTAAAATAACTTTAAAAGACAAAAGTAGTCATTTTTCTTTTTTTTTTGAGACAGAGCCTCAAGCTATCCCCCTGGTTAGAGTGCCGCCGTGGCATAGCTCACAGCAACCTCCAACTCCTGGCCTCAAGTGAGTCTCCTGCCTCTGCCTTCCAAGTTGCTGGGACCACAGGCACCCACCACAATGCCTGGCTATTTTTCTTCGGTTGCAGCCATCATTGTTTGGCGGGCCTGGGCTGGATTTGAACGCCACCTTAGGTGTATGTGGCTGGCACCTTTGCCACTTGAGCCACAGGTGCCGAGCCGAAGTAGTCATTCTTCAAGTGTCTGTCCTCATAGCACCTCTCAGAGAGAAGAGTGGGAGCAAATACTAGGAGGAACAGGACTCACCAATCATCTGTGCCAAAGAGGGCCACACTACCCTGAGTCACTGCCTGTATCACCACCCGAGCCTAGCTGCCCAGAAGGACCTGGCCAGGCTGTGCTATATGTGGCACCTGCACTTGCACCTCTAGGTACAAGCTTGAGGAATTAGATCCAAGGACAACCCGAGGTCTCCTCTCCTCTATGTTCTCCTCATAGGATCACAGGAGATAAATACTCACCACCCCCACCATGGACATGGCCTCATCTGTTCTCAGACTTGCTTTGCTAACTACACAGCCCCAAACTAAACATGTGCTCAAGTTATTTATTTCAGCAAGCCAAAGACTGGCAATGCAACCATCAGCACTGTGCTACTTGAAAGCACCTACTAAATGGAAAAAAAGGACACTGGATTTCTCAAGGGAGAAAACATCTGGGTCAATAAGCATTGGGACTTTACCTAGGCCTGGGACCAGGATAAGCTCCATCTTGGAGTGACCACAGGGTTCTTACCTGGAGTCGCCATCCTGGTCATCAGTATGGTCGCCCATGTTGTTAACAGCATATCTGCTACGTGGCTTATCTGAGTGAGGGCAAAAAGGGGAGAATGGCTAAGAAACTATGATCCCTCCATACACATACAGGAGGATTACGGAGCCATTAAAATCCATGTTTTCCAAGAACGGAAAAGCAAGAATCCAATGTACTCAATACTAATATGAAACCAGTAGATAAACAAATACATACTCACACATGAGAAAAACACAATTAACTCGGAGGGGGGGGCTGGTGAGCTCTCACTTAACAGACACAATGTAAGGGTACCTGGCACACCTCCTGGGTGAGGGGCAAAACTACAACTTGGACTCTACCTAATAAATGTAAACAATGTAACCTAATCATCCATGCCCTCATATTAATCTGAAACCTTTAAAAAATCCATGTTTTCTAAAAAGTGGTCTATCCATACAATAGAAAACAAATACATATAATTCAAACATAAAAAGGAATGGACGTGGGCTTCCTTCGTCAAACCCGCCCAGGGCCAGCTAAACAACAATGACAACTGCAACAAAAAATAGCCAGGCATTGTGGCAGGCACCTGTAGTCCGAGTTTACTTGGGAGGCTGAGGCAAGAGAATCGCTTAAGCCCAAGAGTTGGAGGTTGCTGTGAGGTGTGATGCCATAGCACTCTATCCAGGGTGACATAGTAAGACTCTATCTCAAAAAAAAAGGAATGGACATGGATAAACCTTGAAAACATTAGGCTTAAAGAAATAAAAGCCAGACACAAAAGGACAAATACTGGCCAGGCACAGTGGTTCACACCTATAATCCTAGCACCCTGGGAGGCCAAGGCATGTGGATCCCTTGAGCTCAGGTGTTCTAGACCAGCCTGAGCAAAAGCAAGAGCTCAACTTTACTAAAAATAGAAAAATTAGCCTGGTCTTGTCATGGGCACCTGTAGTCCCAGCTACTAGAGAGGCTGAGGCAGGAGGACTGCTTGAACTCAGGAATTTGAGGTTGCTGTGAGATAAGCTGATGTCACAGCACTTTAGCCTGGGTGACAGAATGAATCTCTATCTCAAAAAAATTAAATGAAATGAAATTGAAACAAAATAAGAGTCACTCCTCTCAAACCATGCCACTGCTTTACCAACTTTATATAATATTCTAAATTATTTGTTATGTCAGTAACATTCACAGCATCTTCACCAAAAGTAGATTCCATCTCAAGAAACCACCCTCGACTCAGCGCCTGTGGCTCAAGTGGCTAAGGCGCCAGCCACATACACCCAAGGTGGTGGGTTCAAATCCAGCTAGGGCCCGCCAAACAACAATGACAGCTGCAACCAAAAAATGGCTGGGCATTGTGGCGGGCACCTGTGATCCCAGCTACTTGGGAGGCTGAGGCAGGAGACTCGCTTGAGCCCAGGAGTTGGAGGTTGCTGTGAGCTGAAATGCCATGGCACTCTACCCAGGGGGACAGCTTGAGGCTCCTGTTTCAAAAAAAAAAAAAGAAACCACCCTCTTTGTTCATCCATAACAAGCAGCCCATCTGTTCAAGTTTTAGGAAATTGTAGCATTTCAATCAAATCCTCAAGCTCCACTTCTCTTTCTCTTGCTATTTCTACCACTTCTTTTTTTTTTTTTTTTTTGAGACAGAGCCTCAAGCTGTCCCCATGGGTAGAGTGCTGCGGCATCTCAGCTCACAGCAACCTCCAACTCCTGGGCTCAAGCGAGTCTCCTGCCTCAGCCTCCCAAGTAGCTGGGACCACAGGCGCCTGGCTATTTTTTGGTTGCAGCTGTCATTGTTATTTGGCGGCCTCGGACTGGATTCAAACCTGCCACCTTAAGTGTATGTGGCTGGTGACTTAGCCACTTGAGCCAACGTGCTGAGCCTATTTCTACCACTTCTGCAGTGACTTCCTCTACTGATGGCTTGAACCCCTCAAAGTCATCATGAGGGTTAGAACCAACATGTTCCAAACTCCTATTAATGTTGATGCTTTGACCTCCTCCCATTCATCACAAAAAAGTTTGTTTTTTTTTTTACAAAAAAGTTCTTAATGGCATCTAGAATGGTGACTCCTTTCCAGAAGGCCTTGCTCTGGATTAAGCGTTGTTTGATCTTCTATCCAGACCACTAAACATTTTTGATACCAGCAATGGGGCTATTTCTCTTTCTTATCATTCATGTGTTCACTGGAGCAATACTTTTTTTTTTAAGAAAGAAGCTCTTGCTACGTTGTCCAGGCTGAATTTAACCACTGGATCTAGGGATCTCCTGCCTCTGCCTCCCTAGCAGCTGAAACTGCAGGAGCTCAGCTTGAAGAAACACTTTTGATTTTCTTCAAGAACTTTTTCTTTGCATTCACTACTTAGCTAACTAGGACAAAGGAATCAGCCACCTAGCTCAGCTTTCAACATGCCTTCCTCACCAAACTTAATCATTTCTATCTTTTGACTTAAAGTGAGAGATGTGCAACTCTTCCTTTCACTTGAAAACTTAGAAGCCATTGTAGGGTTATTCATTGGCTTAATTTCAATACTGTTTTGTCTGGGGGAATAGGGAGGTTGAAAGACAGGGAAAGAGAGAGGGAATCGCCAGTCAGAGCAGTCCCAGCACATACGTTCATTGATGAAGTTCTCTGTCTTATGTGGTAGTGGTTTGTGGCACTCCAAAACAATTACAATATTAATATCAAGGATTACTAATCACCATAACAGATATAATAATAAAGTCTGAAATAGTGCAAGAATTACCAAAATGCGACACAGACACACAAAGTGAGCACATGCTCTTGGAAACAGGGCAGAGACTTGCTTGACACAAGGTTGCCACAAAACTTCAATTTGTAAAAAGCACAATAAAATGAAATGTGCCTATATGCACACATACACACACAACTTCTAAGTACATGATAGAAAAAGCATAAGCAAAAGAAAGCGGTTTTAAATGTATGTATGGCAATAGCCTCCATATATACAAAGAACAATTCTTTACCAGAGTGATAAATCTTAAAAACCTAGTGATGAATCTAAGAAGAGGACAAGAGGCCCACAAAGACAATGGCAACACTAACAAGGGACAAAAACATGAACAAAGACAGAGCATGTTCTTGAGTGGGAAGATTCAACATAAAGATGCTTTCCCAGTTAACACATTTAAAGCTACCTCCAATACAACACTGAGGGGTTGGAAGTGGGCCCTAACACACTTGATACTAAAGTTAACAAGGAGATGTAACTAAGAACAGCTAGGATAATACTGAAAAATAAAGATCATGACAAGCAACTTATTTAACCTAATATAATAATAACAGCATAGAGTTACAACAAACAAAAAATAAATAAATAAGATAAAATAAAAGTTACAATAATTAGCATGGGACCCACACATAAAAGGATCATTGGAAAAAATGAGAAAAGTCAAAAACAGATTTGAATAAACATGGGAATTTAGTATGTGATAAAAGCAACAGGCTCAGAGCCTGTGGCTCAAGTGGCTAAGGCACCAGCCACATACACCCAAGGTGGCGGGTCCGAATCCAGCCCGGGCCTGCCAAACAACCATGACGGCTGCAGCAAAAAAATAGCCAGGCGTTGTGGCAGGCGCCTGTGGTCCCAGCTACTTGGGAGGCTGAGGCAGGAGACTTGCTTGAGCCCAGGAGTTGGACGTTGCTCTGAGCTGTGATGCCAGGGCACTCTACCCAGGGAACAAGCTTGAAACTCTGTCTCAAAAAAAAAAAAGCAACAGACTCAGTCAGTGGAGGCAAGGTGAATTAGTTAATAAAATTATGTTGGGACTAAGCAACCATATACAGAAAAAAAATATGTTGGCTCTTGGACCAATCACTTCCTACCTACAGGGCCCCATTCTGCCACACCCTGGCCTGTCGTCATACCTCCTATTCCACGAGGTTCCAGAGACAACCAAGCAGTGCATGCACAACTCTTAGCAAGTGCCCAGAAAATACCGGCACTCAGAAAGAGGCTTCACCTTACACCATCATAAACAAGATTAAAAGTAAGACAATGGACTGGTGCGGTGGCTCAGGCCTGTAATTCTGGCACTCTGGGATGCCAGGCCAGTGGATTGCTTGAGCTCAGGAGTTCAAGACCAGCCTGAGCATCTCTACTAAAAATAGGAAAATTAGGCAGCCACAGGGGTAGGTGCCTATAATCCCAGCTACTCAGGAGGCTGAGGCAAGAGGATGGCTCAAGCCCCAGAGTTTGAGGTTGCTGCGAGATATGAAACCACAGCACTCTACTGAGGGTGACAGAGACTCTGGTTCAAAAAAATAAACAAGCTTGGTGCCTGTGGCTCAAATGGCTAAGTCACCAGCCACATACACCTGAGCTGGTGGGTTTGAATCCAGCCGGGCCCACCAAAAGACAATGATGGCTGCAACCAAAAAAAAAAAATAACAGCTGGGCGTTGTGGCAGGTGCCTGTAGTCTCAGCTTCTTGGGAGACGGAGGCAGGAGAATCGCTTGAGCCCAAGAGTTGGAGGTTGCTGTGAGCTGTGATGTCACAGCACTCTACCCAGGGCAACGGCTTGAGGCTCTGTCCCAAAAATAATAATAATAAATAAACAAACAAACATAGCAATGGGCATTCTAGAATCTAGAAGAAAATATGGAAGACTTCTTTTGCTGTTAATAATTTTGAAAAGCGGCTTGGTGCCCGTACCTCAGTGGTTAGGGTGCTGGCCACATACACTAGGGCTGGCGGGTTCAAACGCGGGCCAGGCCTGCTAAAACAATGACAACTACAACAACAATAAAAAAAAATAGCCAGGCTTTGTGGTGGGTACCTGTGGTCCCAGCTCCTTAGGAGGCTGAGGCAAGTGAATCACTTAAGCTAAGAATTTGAGGTTGCTGTGGGCTGTGATGCCATGGCACTCTACCAAGGGTGACATAATGAGACTCTGTCTCAAAAAAAAAAAAAAAAACCAGAAACACTGGGTATTTATCTTTGTCACAAAGACCTATTTTTTTTTATCTTAAACATATAAAGAGTCTTCAAATCTCTAAGGAAAAATTCAAATAATCCAAGAGAAAATTAAGCAAAGGTTATGACTAGGTAATTTCAATGAAACAGAAATCAAAATGGCTCTGAAAACAGGCAAATACACCTACTTTCCACCATAAAACAGAAACACATTAAAATTACTATCAGATACAATTTTTCACCTGCTAGATTAACAAAGATCACTACAGGTATTTTGCAAAACGATAAACAGGATAAACACTGTATACAAAAAGGACATCAAAACACTGAAAACAACTCAAAAACAACTCAAATACACATCAACAGAGGATGAATAAATCACAGTAAGTTTATTTCATGGAATTCACTGCAGGCATTAAAAAGGAGAAGACCTCTCCTTAGGTTCTGATTCTATATCCAACGTGCAGATGTGAAGTGAAAATGAAAACAGGGCAGAACAGTACATACAGTGTACTTTCACTTGTGCCTAGAAAATAACGCATGCATATGCTTACATTTACATAAAAGGCTCTATAATATTACAGAGAGATGTCCAGGAAAATGCTAACTGGATGGGTCCCTATAATGGAAACTGGCGAGCTGGGGTGGCGGGGAGTATATGGTAGGAAAGAACTTTCTCTTTCTAAAGCCCTTTGCAATTTTGAAGTTTTGTACCGTATCAACAAGTTTAGAAACAATTTAAAAGCAAAATAGAAATTAAAAACTAAATCCTCATAATAGTGAAAAGACGTAAGTAACCTACGTGTCCATCCGGCCACAGGGGAAGGTTACATTTGCACCCTGCAGCAGTACGCTGCAACTAACAAAAGGAGCTTGATATCTATTTACTAAATTGGAAATTGTTTAATGGAAAAAAGGGCATTGCACAACCACGTATTTATGTGAGGAAAAATCTACATGCAGGAGGGATAATTACTAAAACGGTAGGCAGTTATCCCAGAGAGAGGGCAGGAGGAACAAAACTCGGAGGTGGTCCAGGGCAAGTTTAGATGTACCCACGATTTTGTATTTTCCCGAGATAAGCGCATTCATAATTTTTTTAAAGGCTGGAGACTGATGAAATGGTAACAATAGTTGTTTTGGCATGGCGAATAATGAGTGGTTTTTCTTCTATTTTTCTTTTTCTATACGTTGCAAATATTCTATAAAGAGTAGGTACCGGCTGTATGACCAGGAAAAGTTATTACAAGAATTCTTTCAGTGCACTGTGCGAGACCGCCAGGGAACCCGGCTCCAGTCCACCACCGGCGCGGGGTGCGAGCGCCGGGCCCTCCGCCCAGCGCTCACTTACTTGTCTGGGACGCCGGGTGCTCCTGGCTTCTCTGGAAGGGGTACCTGAACAGCAGCTTATTGCCCCTGCTCCCCGAGCTCACCAGAATCACGCTGATGGGACTGGTGTTGTCCCCCATACTGCCGTGGGGCCTGGCAGGGGTTGGGGAGGGGGTCTGAGGCCGGGCCGGGGGAGGAGCGGGGGGCGGGGAGCCAGACGCGCGCGGGCTCGGGGGAAGAGGGGGCCTGAGGAGTACTGTTCCGCCAGAGGCCGAGCAAACCTGCGCCACAGTCACCTACTCGCAGCGCGACCCTCCAGGCTCGCGAGACTTCCGCAACGCTGCCAGGAAGAGGCACTGAGCGGGCTAGCGCGCGGGTCAGGAGCACTGCGCAGGCACAGGCGGGCGCGTGCGCAGGCGCAAGGTTCCAGGAAGCCACGGTCCCACTCTAGCGCACGCGCCAGGGACGGGGTTCCCCTCGCGTTGGTGGAAGGGCAATTGGCGTAATGTGAATATCGCCTTCTTGGTCGTAACAGTACTGTTACCTTCGGGCGTGAAGTTCTAACCTGAACGTAAAAAGTATTTAAAAAAAAAAAGTTAAAAATAACTCAGTGTTGCGGCCCTTGTAACTCAAGGAGTAGGGCGCCGGCCCCATGTACTGGAGGTGGCAAGTTCAAACCCGGCCCCGGCCAAAATAATAATAATAACTTCAGTGGCTCACAGAACTAAATGTAAGAACTAAGACTGTAAAACTCTTGGAAGCGGCCAGCGGGAAGCTCGCTGAAGTTCCCGGCTGCAGGGAGTTGCAAATGCCGCCGCTGCACTGCAGCCTGAGTGACAGCGGGAACTTGTCTCAAAAAGGAAAACCTCGGCCCGGCGCGGTGGCTCACGCCTGTAATCCTCGCATTCTGGGAGACCGAGGCGGTTCGATTGTCCGAGCCCACGAGTTCGAGACCAGCCCAAGTCAGAGCAAGACCCCAATCCCTAAAAATAGCCCGGCGTTGTGGAGGTCGCCTGTGTCCCAGCTACTTAGGAGGCTGAGGCAAGAGAATCACTTAAACCCAAGAGTTTGAGGTTGCTGTGAGCTATGATGTCATAGCACTCTACTGAGGGTGACAAAGTGAGACTCTTGTCTCCTACCTACATAGGAGTAGATATTCAGGACCTTGGATTAGGCAGTGGTTTTGAAAAATGAGCAAAGAGTATGGCTAGGTATTTCTTCGAAAAATATAGACAAGAGGCTAATAAACCCATGAAAAGATGCTCAACATTATTAGTCATTAGGGAAATGCAAATCAAAATCACAACTGGATGCTACATCACACCCCTTAGGATGGCTATAATCAAGAAGATAAAATAAGTGTCAGGAAGGATGTGGAAAAACTGAAATCTTGATATGTTGCTAATGGGGATGTAAAAGGGTGTAGGCTCCTTAGGAAATAGTATGGCCTCAAAAGGCTGAACCGTTTTAACATATGACCCAGGAATCTCCTGTTTAGCTATATAGCCAAGATAAATGAAAGGGTAAGCCCACACAAAAACCTACATATTCTTAGTAACATTATTCATAATAGACAAAAGTGGAAACATCTCAAATGTACATCAACTGATGAATGAGTGAATAAAATATGGTATAATCCATACAATGGAATACCATAGAAAGGTATGGAGCATGAATCAACCTTGAAAACATACATAATATACAATTCCATTTATGTAAAATTTCCAGAATAAACAAATCCCCAGAGACAGAAAGTATATTAGTGGCTGCCTAGGGCTGGGAGGATTAGCAGGAAGTAAGGAGTGATTACTAATAGATAACGGGATTTTTGAGAAGTGATGAAAATGTTCTAAAGTTGGCTAGTAATGGCTTGCATAGCTCTTTGAATATACAAAAAAAAAACATTGAAGTGTACACTTTGGATAAACTTTATAGTATGTGAATTATATCTCAATAAAGTTGTGTTTTTTGTTTTTTGTTTTTTTTGAGACCAAGCCTCAAGCTATCCCCCTGGGTAGAGTGCCGTGGTATCACAGCTCACAGCAACCTCCAACTCCTGGGCTCAAGTGAGTCTCCTGCCTCAGCCTCCCAAGTAGCTGGGACCATAGGCACCCACCACAACACCTGGCTATTTTTCGGTTGCAGCCATCATTGTTGTTTGGTGGGCCTGGGCTAGATTCGAGCCTGTCACCTTAGATATATGTGGCTGGTACCTTAGCCACTTGAGCCACAGGTGCCGAGCCTAAAGTTGTGTTTTAGAAAAAATCACCCCACCAAACTTATCCCGAGGCTTACCCCAGGAAGTGACTCAAGTGAACAATCTCCAGTGTCTATTTCCAGATCTTCCCCAATCATCCAAATGCATCAGAACCTAACCACCTGACTAAGAGATAAGAATTTTCACTGCTGAAAGTAGTCCTCTTGCACTGACACTGACACAAAAGTGTGTTTTGCTGGACATATTTGTGGGTTGACCCTAACAGGAGGAAGGGCACATGCATTTGAAATGTCTCAGTAGCTACTATCAGATGCATTGCCTTGAATAGGGTTGCACAGCATTGATTTTAATGGTGTTTTGTTCTAGGTTACAGTTTTTTATTATTGCTAAGCAAAGAATTGTATCACATGACGATTTTCCAGGGTCTGAGAATTGCCTTCATGTTTTACTTATGGGTTCTCTGCCCTCCTTTGATGGTTTAGGTATATTTGTGAGGGATAGTTACCCTCTGTTACAGATTTTGTAAGCCTTTATCCCAGTTTTGTATGTTCTGATTTTATGTATAATCAAAAGGTTTGTAAGTTCTTCCACACACCCCTGGCAGTGTTCCTGGAATGGAAATGAGGGTGCAGGGGCAGAAGTGATGCTGGAAGGGTGGGGCAGATGGAGATTGGGAGCCTGGCCAGTTGTGGTCATGCAGGCCTCCCCAAAAGGGGCACTAAGAATCCTCAGGTGACCAGACACATGCACCAGTACTGTGACTCACACCTCCCTCCTTTGACTCCCTAGCTATGTTGCCACTCCTGCAGGGCTTGAACGAGTAAGGGACTATCCACAGAGCAGTGGTCTACATCCCACTGTCACCCTCACTGGAAGTACCTCATGTCTGCATTTGCCAACCTTATCAGCCTTATAGAGACCTTATTGTCACACCCCAGCCTGAGAGTCAGCAGTCCCCACTTTGGACCTCATTTTCCCCACCAGTAACAGGATTCAGAGCAGGTGGTCTCTAAGGCCTAGCTTTAAGCTCTTACTTTGTCTCCTGAGCAATGAAGTGCCAGGGCCAATCTCATTTACTACAGGACATGTCTTCAGACTCTTCTCTGCTGAGACCTCACACCTCTAAGTTCCTCCTCATTTTAAATTTAAATAACTGGCTTGGCACCTGTGGCTCAAGTGGCTAAGGCGCCAGCCACATACACCTAAGGTGGCGGGTTCAAATCCAGCCCAAACCCGCCAAACAACAATGATGGCTGCAATCAAAAAATAGCCTGGCATTGTGGCAGGCGCCTGTGGTCCCAGCTACTTGGGAGGCAGAGGCAGAAGACTCGCTTAAGCCCAGGAGTTGGAGGTTGCTGTGAACAGTGAAGCCATGGCACTCTACCCAGGGGGACAGCTTGAGGCTCTATCTCAAAAAAAAAGATTCTCTTGCCTCAGCCTCCCAAGTTGCTGGGACTACAGGTGCTTGCTACAATGCCCAGCTATTTTTTTGTTGTAGTTGTCATTGTTGTTCTAGCAGGCCTGGTTAGGGTTCAAATCTACCAGCCCTGGGGTAGTGGCCGGTGCCCTAACCACTGAGCTTTGGGTGCCGAGACTGAACAGAAACATTTCTCACAAGGACAGAATGGCCAAAAATACATGAAAAAATGCACATCACCTCTAATTGTCATAGAAATGCAAATCAAAACCATCTTGAGATTTTACCTAACTCCAGTGACAATGGCTCATGTCACAAGAACAGTATTTTTTCATATATATTAACAAATTAAGCCATATTGTATGCTTTATTACATAATCTACCTTTATTTAACAATGTAAAAACTATCTTACATGTCTTTTACACGTATCTTTGTTTCTGTGTAACTATTACTCCAAGATAAATTCCTGGAAGTGGAATTACAAGGTTTAAGAAAGCACACAGTTAAGTTTTTAATAGATATTATCAAATCATCCCTCACAAAGGTTGTAAAAATGTAAACTTTGAAAAAAATATAATTTTTTTCTAGCAACTGCCATTATAAGCATTTAAATAAAATATTTTATCTTTCTAGTCTCTGTGGAAGGTTAATTTTTTTTTCCAGAGTTTCACTTTGTCACCCTTGGTAGAGTGCTGTGGTGTCATAGCTCACAGCAAGCTCAAATTCCTGGGTTCAAGTGATCCTCCTGGTAGCTGGGACTACAGGCACCTGCCTTAACACTGCAGTATTGGCTCAGCGCCTGTGGCTCAAATGGCTAAGGCGCCAGCCACATACACCTAAGGTGGTGGGTTCAAATCTAGCCTGGGTCGCCAAAACAACAATGATGGCTGCAACCAAAAAATAGCCAGGCATTGTGGAGGGCGCCTGTGGTCCCAGCTACTTGGGAGGCAGAGACAGGAGACTTGCTTAAGCCCAGGAGTTGGAAGTTGCTGTGAGCTGTGATGC